TATTTAAAAACTAATGCAGTCTTATACAAAAGTCCTGCATAAGTTCTAGATTTAACTACTGCCACCATAGACAGTCAAACAAGAGTCATAATGAGTTAAATAGTTCATGCATAGCACGTATACAAATTAAGTGTAGAGCTAATTATGAATGATAAGGATTAGACTTGCTTTTATGCCTTCTAACCATTGTGAGCTGCTTTACTTCAGAGAGACTTAGGCAGGCAGTCATACAGCTAATGTTTTAGTATTGTTGGGTTGAATGTTGACATTATATCTTACAATGAACACTGCAAAGCCACTTAGTCATGACATACTTCTCTGGTGCCGCCAATCATCCTGGCAGGTCAGTCATTTTGCACAGTATGCTAAAGGAAGTCTAAGAGGCTAATTATATGACGAGCAACCAAAGGCCATATATTGCTTTTCATTTTACTCCTCTAGCCATTCTTTATAAGCAGAGTTAAAAACAAGGCTCTCATAAACTGCACAGTTTTCATGCTGCCTTCTTATTATAAAAATACAATGAACAGAATGAGTATACTAAAACAAAGTTAGTACAAGGAACTGGACTCTTTGGAGCATCCGACGCTGGAGCAGTGACATGAGGCGAAATGTTTAACGTGTGTCATTAACTTGGTGAACTTGCAGCCAATGGAACGGGCCCTCACATCAGTGCAAGCCCAGATTAGGCCATGCATCAGAGAGCGTGGTAGAGCGGGTCTCTTTCAGTCCCCACTAATCGTATTGAGCAACTCTCTCTCTCTGTTTCACGCGCGCCCGCTGCCCCCTCTTCTTCTCTGCACTCGGTATCTGCTGATCCCTCCGCACAGTCCAGAAGAGAGCTCTCTTTGTGCCGGGGCTGGCAGGCAAACAGAAGCACAGAGATGGATATGGCTGAGAGTGACCTGATTCTGCCTCAGTGCCTGGCCTCTGTCCAAATACAGAGGCTCCGCTCTCCTGTCCCTCTGTCTTCACGGAGGATCCCTCGGTCTTCCTCCTATGTTGCTACGCTACGGGACGCTGGCAGAAATACCCATCAGCCCTGAGCAAGAACTGAGTTTGTGAATTCAAGACCTTTGAGTGGTTAATCGGAAGTATGCACATATATATTTAGATGTGTACAACATCATTATTTGATTAAATCATAATCAGCAGCACTCAGGAATTGAGGATAAGACGTTTTCCAAAACTTTTTTACTTTGAATAAGAAGTTGATTGGATAATTGAAAGCAATTTGTTAGTATACCTAAGCAATCTTATTTAAGAACAGCAGTCCTTTGTGACGTATTCAATTCATCTATACGCGAGCAGTCTTAACGACTCGTTAAGCATGGGAATATCTAAACCTTTTTCTTGTTTCCTACAACAATCGATCACTTCTGTCTATGCTGAAATGGTACAAATCAAAAAAGCATCTGAGAATAAAAGTGTTCCACTGAAAACTAGCAAAAGTTGGACTGAAATGTTTGACAGAGAAAAAGCTGTGAAAACTAAAAACCCTGTGTTGGAATATGCTTTTAATGAGGTGGATTGAGGGAACAGAAAAACACATAAAACGTGATGGGAGCTTTGACAGCAGTGTGTTATTGGCAGACAATGTCATGGGCTGCATTCATATTATTTGGTATTCCGAGACGTGCCTGTCTTCACAACTGCAAATGTCATGTTATGGTGGTGCTGTAACGAAAATGCGTCTGCCTCCTGACAGACAAAGTATATTTCATATGATTGCAGAATGCGGGACAGAGATGGCAGCTGCGATTGGCAACTAGTAGAAATAATAAAGCAGTGACAAGATAAAAACACATATACACACAATAGCTCATAACAACATCCTTTTCTTGCACATACATCACCCTTTACTTACAGACACAATGTGTTGACAGAAACTCACAGATAATATAAAGTGATTTTTAATGTTGAAAACCACTTTTGCTCTTTTAGAAAAGTAATCAATCTTGGGAGAAATGGCTTCACATTTTATCTTTTGAGGCCGCATTCAATCATCGACTCTCCCAATACAACAAAGTACCCGTTTTGCGTGTGATAGACCCTGTTAACCTTTCAACCTATGGATGATGAGGCTCCTTTATAACTGATGGCAACACAGAGAGGGGGTTTCTTTCTGTCATAAAAACAATGAATATTAACAAATGCATAGATAAGAGCTTTAGTGGTAACTGGAGAGAACTCACAGTGGACATACATACTGACACTATAGTGATGGATATCAATTTTGGAAAGATGGTTGTTGTCTCAAATAAGAGAGAGGAGGGGACGGACGGTAAACCAGTGTGATACGTCAGTTATTTCACGTAGTGACCCTGGTTCTCTTCAGAGCTCCATTCATCTAACAGTGAGCCATCTACATGACCTGTAGAGAGTGAATTCTTGACAACAGCTCATTCTGAAAAGGTCAGGGGGGAGAAAGGCCAGTAGAGGGAGGGAATTCAAGGAAAGAATGTCCACTTAACTGTTTTTTTCCCCTTGCATCAATATTCATCTTTGTTGACTCTCTTCAGTAGCTCTTGCATTCTTATTTATCATCTCACCCTTCTCCACTTGTCTTTCACCTGACTCCTTGTTGTCCTCATCTCAACCCTCTAACCATATGACATGAACTTGACCCACATTCAGGTCACCTCCATCGATCATCTATACCACTTCATATAAGCCCATGTTATGGCCTAAAGCTCATTGTGCTCTAGACCGGCCATGCTCCATTTGTCTAATGAAAGCAGTCCTCATTTTTCCTCTGTGGCCCAGTCTGAGGCTTCTGATGATGATGATGGCCTTTACTGAAAGGTTGTGAGGAGACACTTGGTGCTTGCAAGATTGATCGAAAGCCCAGGGGGTGCACTTCCAGGAGGAAAAACGAAAGATAAGACATAAACTAAAAGACCCTCTGCTCCCCAGAGCACCCACCTCTGACAGTTCAAACCACCATGCTGCTGATTTGAAATGGTTCGATAGGTTTTAAGGCAAATGAGAGCCAACATCTCAAGGAAACATATTCACCTTTGTCTTCTGAAGGAAGGATACTTCTTTGTACGGTCTAGATAACTTGCCTTAAGCTAAAACTCTGACATCACCATCTTTTGCTTTGCCTAACCTGACAAGGTCTTTTTGTTTCACATTCTAGCTATTATTATATTTGGGTTATAATTCAACCAATGCATGCTTAAGCATTCATATCAAACCAAGGGCTTAATTTGAACATTCAAATCAGTCTGCAAACAATTACTTGTCATCAGGTCATATAAATCCTCATATTTCATAACTCATACCCACTCCCCTTACTACCGAACATTTTTTGTGCATTTTGAAGGAACGTAAAGACGGTGTCAACTCCCAAGTCCTCATTCTTCATAGCAACCCACACCACATTGCCAAGCAATTAATCAAGAGCAATGCCAGCGTCAGTACTAAACCCAGTGTTTCAAATCTCCATACACACAGAATAATGACCAATCCCCAGCACCATTATTCTCTTATCAAAAGCCATAAGTCATTTTGCCCACAGTGACTGGTATGAGTATCACCCCGCAGGAGAAAACACATGCATGCAAGGACACAATGTAGAGAGGCACTCTACATGAAACACACCCCTCTGTATCTAATAACAAAATCACAGCAGCATGTCCACACTGAAAGCATAACAGATGAACCTCCATCAAGGCTTGTATTTCTCCCTTCTCTGATTCAGATTGTATATATATTTAGATGCATTGCAGGGATTTGCCTCAGTGTGACGATGCAGAACTTATTTGTATTTCACTCAGTTCACTTTGAATCATTTCACATTGAATATCTTGCCGCACTGGCATTTCTGCAGTTGCTGTTGCGTTGGGTGGACGGTGGGGAATTGTGCCTGACAGAGCAGCCTCTGGCACTATTACAGAGCTGGAGCCTGACTGCAGTCTTCTTCCATCTTCATCTCTTTCCTACTCCTTTCCACATTTTCCGTTTCTTGTGAACGAGCAGAATCACACTGGCATACAAATGCTGACATGTTCTATCTCATATTCAAACTGTGTCTCCTTTGTTGACCTCCCCCCTATCCATAACTGTCACTTCCAGGAATATCGGACACAAAATATTGATTCTTACATTCATTAATCCTGAGTTAACTCTTCATTCATCAGACCAGGTTGCCTTGAGGCTCTAATTATTGTGTATGCAGTTAGACCAGGGGTGTCAAACTCAATTTCATCGCGGGCCACATTCGCATAAAGGTTGCACTCAAAGGGCCGGTTGTAACTATATAATATATATATATAATGTATTATATTACATTATTGCCTCTGAATTGGATTATTATCGGATAGGATAATAACTTAGTAATTAACTACGTCTGAAAGCAGAAGTCCACGGCAAATAATTGAAAGTCTCTTCAGCGCACATGTCACAAAACGAGATGCATTGTGGGACATGTAGTTTATGGGCAACGAGCTTCTGTAAAGTGGAATGTAACCGTATAATAAACGTATTATATTCTTTGCAAGCTCTTGCGGGGCCACATAAAACGAAGTCGCGGGCCGGATTTGGCCCCCGGGCCTTGAGTTTGAGACCCCTGAGTTAGACTATCAAGATCCGATATTATTTATAAGTAGATTTCATACAACAACTCCAATAGCTTGCTATTACTACAAATAATTTGTATAATATGATGATGAATTGGCAATTGAGTGTGGTCACTTATTATGTTACCGCCATTCTTAAAGCCTCACATGAGACCTGGCTATAGCTGCCCTCTTATAGGAGTGTTAAAGGCCGAAAGAAAGTGCCCCCCTCAAGGCTTAATATTGGATTTCCATGATGAAATATTATAACAAACACATGTACCTATCCCAAAGCAAAAAATGAATACACTGAACATCTTTTAGGGCAACAAAAAACATTATTATTAAGAGGAATTTGGCTTCTACACATTAATAATGAGAGAAACTAAATCTAATTTTTTTAAATGTATTCTTTTGTCGTCTTTTCTTCCAATGCAGCTGTTGACCATTGATGATGACTTTTGTGGCCTGGACATGAATGCACCGCTGGGCGTGTCTGAGATGGTGCATGGCAAGCCTCTCTTAACCGACGCTGTTGACAAAATGACCTCCGTCATTGCATACGTCTACAAGAACCACTCGCTGGTCTTCGTGGGCACAAAAAACGGACGCGTCAAGAAGGTAAGGAGCAGGAATACAGGATGAAGGATGGCAGAGGTGGCTGAATTGATGGAGGCAGAGATTTGGTTCCCCTCTGTTATAATGTGGAGTAAGGGCTGGGAATTGGGGACTGCTGGATTGGAGGAAGGATAGTAGTAGTGAGGCAGATTGACTTTCAGGCATATCAGCTGAGTCGGCTGCATTTGCAGGGGGGAGAGGTGTGTGTGTGTGTGTGTGTGTGTGTGTGTGTGTGTGTGTGTGTGTGTGTGTGTGTGTGTGTGTGTGTGTGTGTGTGTGTGTGTGTGTGTGTGTGTGTGTGTGTGTGTGTGTGTGTGTGTGTGTGTGTGTGTGTGTGTGTGTGTGTGTGTGTGTGTGTGTGTGTGTGTGTGTGTGTGTGTGTGTGTGTGTGTGTGTGTGTGTGCATGAAAGAGAGGGATAGTGAATGCAGGAAGTGTATGTACTTCACTGTGTAGAGAATTTGAATGTGTGTGTGTGTGTTTTGAGGAGGGGGGATCAGGAGAGCCCCTGAGGGGGTTTTATTCCTAGTGCGAGCCTATTTGGTATCTCTCAACATCCTCCTTATCCACTGCACCATTTACCACACTGGTATACACCCAGTATCAGGACTATCCGCTGTACTTTTCCTTCACTATGGACTTACAATCCAGAGCCCTAGGGGCAGATTGTAGCACACATCAGCATGTTGCAGAAGTTGCTAGACAGCACAGATCAGCATGTTGCAGAATCGATTAGGCAAAGTTTCTTATGTGTTTCTTGAGCCACATTAAGGGATCAGAATAGGATGAAATACATATTTTTTTCGGTGATTACTTAACTGCCTTACAGTATACAAGGGAATCTAGAGAATGATTCAATTAATAGTATTTTGATGGGCTCTTATTGCTTTGAAGCTCCTAAAAACCTGTGGAAATATTTTGCAGCTGCACGTGTTTGTGAACATCTCTGACCATAAATATCTCTCCCTTGAAAAACATGTCACACTCTGTGTGACAGCAAAGCCCTTGGCTAAACAAGATTTGTCTCCCTCAGAGTTAAACAGCAGTGGATAAGCTGGGTTTTGGCGTGTTGTTGCTTCCACCCTCGACTCCCCCCATGCCCCTTTGCCCTCCCTCGTGTGGCAGCCTTTTTTTGGGCTAATAGGATGATGCACTGCTGCTAGGTGTGATAGAAGGGAGGTGACTCCTGTGCTTTTACTCCCATGTTCTCGCACTCCAACACACATATTGTAGACCATGACTGAGACTAATGCCAGGGCAGTGAGCCTCACAGGCCTGGGGAAACCAGTATTACACAGAGTGGAGGAAGAAGAGAAGGATGGAGAGACAGAGGGGTGCAGAGGAAGATCAAGCTGAGGGGAACCTTTGGAAAGATGGACATTATTCCTGACATGATCCGAGTCTTAAAAGGGGGAGGGAAGTGTGTGAGTGCACAGAATGAAGAAAGATGGAATACCAAGTGGAAGAAGTTGAACTAAAATGTGATTGATGCAGAACAAGCAGCTGATGTTAAGGAGTGTTTTTCCTAAGATACACAGGCAGGCAGGAGTGCTAGTTTTTACATTGTTCGATATTGTTGATTACTGCCCTTGTTAGTGTTTTTCCGCACAGGAGCGGAGTGGTTAGGCGGTGTCTTTACATGTTGTAAGACCATTTTCTACACCTAGATGTTCCAAACAGGGGAAATAAGTAATCATATTTTACACCTACAGTACTGCTCACAATGAGTGTGATTGGGGGAGATTTAGGGGCGTATACTCTTTGTGCATTTCAAGTAGGTGCTTGAGGATGTTGGAAACAGTTTCCTGGTTATCTTGCTTGATTTCTTGGTCTTTCTATGACTTTCCTCCAGTCATCCCTCTTAAAAGTACATTTTGGCACTTGACAGGAATATGATCAGATTGTGCACATATGGTATATCAGGGCAAAGAAAGTCCAACGACACATGCCATCTTTGACAAAGGATGATCAATATCCTGTTTCAACACAGACCTACACACATGCACACAGCGGCCCATTACAACCCCATCCTCCCCTCCCATGTACATACTTCTCCTCCCCTGTCGTTAACTGTATACCATTAGATGACATCACAGGCAATAAAAGACAACAACAAGACAATAAAAGGCCTCAGCTTCTGTCCACCTCCTTCATCAGTGACTTTATAACCCCTCCACTAATGGATGTTGATTTATATACACTCCTCCACCTTACTTGTTCCATCCCTCAACCCCCTGCCTCCCTTTCCCTCACTCCTTCAGTCACACACTATCTTTCAGTCTCTCTGTTTTGTCAGTGTTATTTATGAACCTGTAACACGTCACCCTGAATAAATATAAGCATTACGGTAAAGAGAGTGGATGGACTTTAATGCATTGGTGTTTGGGTGAGCTAAATGTTAGTGTTTACAGGTTCATGTTTATGACATCATGCTGGGCAGGAAGCTGAGTGAATGAAATACATTTGCTTGGGACATCGTTTTATGTGTAGCGAGGTTGAGAGTAAAAGTTGCTAGTATAATGTGAGATATATGGACCAGACTTCCGATATGGTTATTTTTGTAACCTAATTTTGATTATCACAATAACAACCCTTACCTCAACATCAACATAAAGTGACATCAGTAGGAGGCATGGAACAATATTTGGAATAGCAGCAGACAGACTTTTTTTAATAAGACTCTATTACATTGAGTTGTTTAATGTAATGTGGGCCCATGAAGAAAGGAGATGGGATACATTTGAAAAAACCGCAAACTGAGGTTGGTCCAGGAAGAAACTCACCAAATCAAAAAGTTTCTACCCTTAAACAGTCCTTTAAAGAGGTCAGGTCCACACTTTTTTCTCATGTTGTACCAATATCAGGTTTGTCCTCACAAAAATGTCAGTACAAGAACACACACACAAACATAGCCCTGGCCTTAGATGTCTCTGATGCTGAGTGGCTGTGTTGTGTAAAGTCTGTATTGACACAGTCTAAGCTGAATTTCCTACCACCCTCCTGTCAGCGGAAACGAGCAGTGTTGTTGAATCAGTAAAATTCTGTACATGGTCACAGCTACAGCTATGCTTGGCCCTTATTCTCTCACAAAAAAAAAGTCTCAAAACCTGACACCACCAGGATCCAAGTCTCTCCCCACTCTTTTTGTTTACCCTTCACTTGTAGCTGTTTTGAATTTATAGAATATATCTACCCTCACCACATTTCTTCTCCTCTTATTTTGTTGTATCCCCTCCCTTACTCCACCTCTGTTAGCCCCCTTCTTCTAATTTCCCTTTTCCTTTACCCTTCATCCATCTCCCCCTCCGTCTCTCCGTCCATGGCCGAGTGGAGCTGCTGTGAGAGCTCTTTGATGGCTACCTCCTGCCATTGTAAGTGAATGGACCATATGGCCTCTGTCCGCCTGTCTGTCGGTCAGTTTGTGTGTGCGTTGGTCTGTGGCTTAAGGAGGAGATGGAGATGTGATGGAGATAAAAGGCTATGGCTGGGTAAGGTTTAAACTCATTTTCTGCAGGTCAGTGCACAGCAGCAGGTCAAGGGGAAAGGCTTAACCCCCTGTGGGCTTTGGTTCAGTTCATGGTCATCTGGTCAGACTACACATTAGCATGAGGGGTACACTTCTGTACTAACACACATGCATGATACTCACAAAGTGCACACAATTGCATGAATTGAGATAAGCACACTTGCATGCATCAATGAACAGTTAACACCCAGGCACACACTGTTGCACAAAGGCCAGTCAGGTACCCCCATGGGGCCGTGGATGGAGAGGTGGACTATGGGACGAGATGGATGTGTTGAGGGTAGAAGTGGAGGAAAAAAAGAGAGAGAAGAGATGAGATTGGTGGCCACCTGCTGAGGTGCTAATGCATCTCCACTCTGTCCTTCCCGATGGGGAAGCATTGGCGCTCAATACAATGAGCAGCTGACCTTGAACTTGACATAGACAAAGGCATAGCATGCAGAGGTAGTGAGGTCGAAGAAGCTTAGTTTAGAGGTTTTTGTGTGTTTCTGTGCTTTCTATACCACCTGTTTATAAAATGCAGTGCCTAAGGTAGTGTCTGTAAAAGCAAAGCCATGCATGCTGCTTCAAGGTGATGGTATACAGGAGAAACAGCTTATTCACAGAGGACTTCACAAAGCATTGGTTAGTATTTGGCCAAAGGCAAAGAGCAGGGTGTTGGGTTGTGACGATCCATTCAAATCTTAGGTGTTCTATAGAAACTATCACAGAGAAAGATAGCGGGAATAGATTGGGAAAATGAAGGAAGAATAATGTGGCTGACAAGGGAGCAAGAAAGGAGAGAGTCGACTAATCATAAAATGGTCTTTCCACTTTGTCTTAACTCATTCTCCCATGCCTATTACCTATGCCAACAACTGTATCAGTATAACATTCTGCTCTGCATCATATTACTCTGAGGATGTATGATAATAATAATGATTTATATTGGTTACTAAGGACGTGTTGCAGCCGGACATGCAGTTGCCGGTTACGATGTTTTAGATGGCAGAGGCAAATCGATTGAAGTATATGTCAAGTTATTTTCTTTTGAACTTATTATAATCACTATAAATAAATACTTCATGTATGTGGCCTTCCCTGTCTGAATGTTGATGGAGTGCTGTTGTGCTAACTGGCTTTGCTGTTGGCACTGTAGTTTATAGATGGATGGATGTACGTACGTGTGTGTCGGCGTAAGAGCTTTTACGTAAGATATTTATTGCTCTGGACCAATCCCATATGTTTCGTGCGTTGATTGTGTCCTTGTTTTGCATGTGTGTGTGTGTATGTGTGTGTGTGCTTGTCTGTGTGTGTGATGGGTTGGTTAGCCCAGATGCAGATTATTGAAATGAGCTGAGCTGAGCCATGGTCAGTGGAGCAGAGGATTAACTGCTTAGAGCTAATGATGAAATATGCTTTAGGAAGGGTGAGCATCATGAGTGTGTATGGACCGTGGTTTATGTTTTTAACCCTCCTCCCCACCCTTGTAATTCTAC